CGTTTTCGAGTTATTTGCAAAAGATATATTTAGGTGCCAACCCTTCAACTCCCTAATGGGGACGTTTAGCGAAAAATGAAAGGTTGCATATTGTTCAGATTATTATTTTGAACATCTTTTATTCAATATTTCTTATCAAAATATTTCCCACTTTTGAGATATAAAGCGTCAAAAATTTAGCATTTTGGCCCCTTGTGGCCCCTAATTATGTACCATACGACATGTATATCATTTTATATAGTTGGAGATTGTTAAAATAAACATTTTTGTTTCAGTAATGTATAACAAAATATTAGTAAAGGTTTATGGATAGAACTTTGGCCCCTTTTTGCCCCATAAGTGATGCGTCAGCACTTTTTTCTTGATACCATATGAAAGATTTTGTCATTCTTCACAAATATTGTTCAGTATCTTTTAACAAAATATTTACACTTTAAAAGATATAATGCAAAATGTCTTTAAAAATTACTCATGATTCGTGTCCTAAATTTCGACCCCTACCGAGCTTCCATACTAAGCACTTCGGGCAGATCTGAAAGTATAGGTGCAAAACTACAATATGTTGTCTATTAGTCCTGAAAAGGACAGCATTCTAGCTTTTGCTCGTTTTGGGGTTTTTTGTCCAGACAAAATGGTTCACCAAAAATTCGATTAAAGGGCGATAACTTCCGACCGGAAGTGATTTTTGAAAATAAAAAATATGAATAAAGTTTTGTTCATGATACATCATTCCAGAAAAATTCAAGTCAATCCACTTAAGCATCTCTGAGAAATCGTCTTGCACAAAAATGTGTATATAAAAATAATAATAATAACTAGATATGATCTCGATGCGAGCAACGAGGGGTCTTCCGTCCCATTCTGAAGTAAAAAAACGAAAAATCTAGCAGAAAAAGTGATAAAACAAATTGGACATCCGGGGGAGCGAACCCGGGTCGCCCGCGTGACAATCCGATGCACTAACCATTCGGCCATAGAAAACACCGCTTCAAATTTTTAAATACGAAATTCTCGAGATTGCCTTTTTCGATTCTAAAGCAAATTACATATTTTGCATTTCGCAAAAGAGACACCTTCAATATCAAAATCTCAAAGAAAATATAAAAAACAAAAAAGTTGAAAAATTGCGGTTTATTAAATTCGCTTCCGGTATCGACCGGAAGCACTGCGAAAATTTGAAAGTATGGTGCAAAACTACAACATGTCATCTATTAGTCCTGAAAATGACAACATTAAGCTGTATCATTTAGTTTTTGTGTCGACAAAATGGTCACTAAAAATTCGATTAAAGGTCGATAACTTCCTACCGGAAGTGATTTTTCAAAAATTAAAAAAAATGGATCAAGTATAGATCATGATACATCACCTCTGAAAATTTCAAAGAAATCCGTCCACGCATCTCTGAGAAATCGTCTGCACAAAATTTGGACGAAAAAAAAAAAATAATAATAATAGTGAAAAAGAAACAATAGAATAATAGAAGGGTCTTCCGTTGGAGACGGAAGACCCTAACTAGATACGATCTCGTTGCGAGCATTGTGAGAAATTGTGAAATTCATGGCCCCAGGATCAGGGGTTCTGGTGTTAGGGCGGGGCTCTATTGATTATATAGTGAAAATGCATTAATATTTGAAAATCTTCTTCTCTGCTCCTGGGTATTAAATAAACTAATTAAGTTCATAGTTATGATGACCAAGAGTGCCTCTACCAAAATTGTGAATTTCATGGCCGAAGGGTCGGGTTCTGGTGTTAGGGCGGGGTCTATAATGATAAATAGTGAAAATACATGAATTCTTTGAAAATCTTCTTCTCTGCTCCTGGGTAAGAAGCTGAGGAACTTTCTTCTTCCAGAATTGTAAATTTTCAGGCCCCTGGGTCAGGGATACCAAAATGGGGGGGGGGGGCTCTACTAATATACTGAAAATGAATTGTTTTAAATCTGCTCCTTGGTATTAATCAAACATTTTTGATAAGCAATTGTGCCTTTTCAAAAATTGTTTAATGTGTGAACCTAGGGTCAAGGGTTCATGAATGGTAGGGGCACTTCTGATTATTGCTGAATATTACTGATTAGTTGATATGCATTTTTTGTTCCCCTAACCTGCCTATGGGTATTAAGGTGGCTAAGTTACTAAAATAAGCGATTGCTAATTTCATACTTAGTTATTATGATTAGCAATGGTGCCAGCCTCTTTCAAAACTGTGAATGCTGTAGCATCTACCTTAAAACATTCAAAATATTCAATAATTTGTATTTATGAACCAAATTCTATCATTTGAAAGTTTTTGCATGATTCTCAGGTGACCCATAAGGCCCATGGGCCTCTTGTTGACAGAATTATGCCCATTTGGAATTGTAAAAATTCCAATTTAAGGGGAGGGGGGCATATGTGTTTTACAAACATCTCTTGTTAAAGTGTATAAACATTACTGGGCAAAGGGGGGGGGGGGTGTAATAGAGATACATTTCCTAGCAAAGTAAAAACTTCACTGTGTAAAGATTACAGGGGGGGGGTGAGTGAGTGATACATTTCCTAGCCAAGTCAAAAGTATCTCACTGCGAACTTTTAGCATGCTGGAGTGACTCAATTTTGTGCAGATTACAGATGAGTCCAGGAGAGATACTAAAGTGCGTTCAGGATAAATAACACAAAGAAACTTTTTCCCCAGAAAATGAATTATTTTTATGTATTCTGAAGCCCTTCTCAATAAAGAAAAACATTCAACCGTCTAATAATTTTATGATTGAACATTTATTCACCAAAATTGGGGAGAAAACTGGAAAATGCATGTTTCTAGTTCAAAATTTTCTTAAATAAGTTTCTAATTTTTTTTTTGCCATCTTTATGAAATTCAATAATTCGTATTTATGATGGTATGCAGATCATCATCCTGGGTCAAATATTTTTTTTATTGTCTTTCAAATGTAATCAATATCCTAAAAAATTATAAAAATATTTGTAAACATTTTACAAACAATCCTAAAATATGTCAATATTTTTTATGGAGTCTTTGCAGTGGTATTACTTTTGAAAAAATAAGAAATTAGGTACTCTTTTGGCACTAATAAGATGAGAATAAAACATTTACTCAATAAAATGACATTTATTGAACAAAGTCAGGAAAGCGTTGTCTCCTCTAATGTCTGCATGAACACTGTCGAACTGACAAATATCATTTTCGTCAACTTTGATTATATTGATAACTTGCTGGTTATTTTTTTTCCTCTTCAAACACCTTTCTTACATGCTTTAATTTGGACTTGCTAGTAAATTTCCCTGACTTCGTTTTGTGCACATGGAACATGCTAAGAATTATAAACTACAACTTCCGGTTTTATAAAATTAGAACCAAACACTGCAAATTACGGAAAAACTAGTGTAACCAGTCTATGCAAAGATATCGAACCGCTGGACCTGACCAATGTGCAGTGCCTCTGGTCTGATGCGTCATTTTTTACACCAAATCAATTATTTATACACCAGCTAGAGTAAAAAAATTGTTGCCGACATCGCTGACAAAAAAATAAATTAGTCATGCTTTAATTTTATTACCAAATCCAAATGCAAAAAGCTTAAAAGTAGTGATGAATGTTTAAAACATCAAAGGAATCACTGCCATGTTTTTTACAGCCATGATTGAATGTAGGGTCAGACTAATAACAGAAAACGGACAATAATACGATGTACTATACGAAGGAAAACATTTTAAGTGTAGACAATTATAATGTAAATATTACTATAATCAAAAATAACAAATCTAGTCTCTGGATAACTACTTTCAAAACTTGTAATCCCAAGAAATAAATACATGAATGAAAGGTGGGACTATAATGTCAGCAATATACCCATTGACTGAAATTGAAAAAAAATAAATTCCCATTCTGTTTCAATATATTGATTTTATGTAAAGTAATAGAATATTATTTTTCATGTTTTTAGAAAAAATATTCATTTATAAACATTTTTGAATATTAAATGATTTTGTTTTGTAAAAACCTGACTGAAAGGAGTATTCCACTTAAGTATAGTAGCGTGGTCCCTTTTTACTACCTTGGTTTACTGGATAGAGAGTAGCAATGGATATTTTGATTGATTTCATTGTGTATAACAAAGTATTTCTAATAAAATCATTTTGCATTCATAATGAATTATTAAACATATAAAAAAAACACAAGCCGATTTTTAACACCCATCGCGCTAAAAAATGCCGGAACTTTTCCCCTTCATCAGACAGCTTTTCTTTTACATGAAAATGGGCGGAGACTTTTAGATTAGATACTATGAAAAGAATATCCGTGATAAATAATATTTTTCCTTTCAAAGAAGAATTATATGTTCAAGTTTCACAGTCAACAAAAATGTTCTAATCAGAAAACTCTAGCAATGCGAAAGAATCACATTAACAAGATTAACCAAACAAATCCATATGCTGACCGATACATGTTCGACTGAGTACATTTCAACTGAGTGCTTGCTAGCACGTTTACTGTGGGCATTTACCTGTAACGACACAAATCCACATGGCTTGTTGTGATTTGAAACAGGTCATAAGAGGTTAATCGCATGTAAATGAAGATAGTGAAGAGGTTCAAAATCACAATACTTTTAATTAGAAACCATAGAGCACAAGGTTGTTCAACAAAGATATTTTTACTCAACCTTTACCCATATAATATACACATGATATATCAATATCGACTCTGAACAAATATGTGCTCGGTGTTTACAAAAGCTTGAAAGTTTGTACCTGTCAGTGATTTCTTTTGATATTCATGAAAATCAAAGGACCCCAACTTCAACACGCAGCTTCGTATGCTGTGTATATCTATTATTTGACATTTTTAGATGAAGATTCATATAATAAAGGCAATAGTTATTATGAACATTTAATTTTTAAAGCCTTTGATAAATGTTCGAAATTTGACGAGTAACCGGGGACCACAGATAAGCCTTAAATGAGAATTGTCCTTTGAATATTTACATTTACTGTGTTTTTTACTAAGCCAACTGGCAAACACTCTGTATTCTCATTTCTGTAGCTGTTTGTATTCTGTGGAATGGTTTTTGTCTGAGAGATTGTTGGTATGAGTACAGAGCAGCCTGAAGGTTCCCTGTCACCTGTTGACAGATCCCTAGAATCTGCCACGAGATGTTTCTGGAATCAGAAGGTATAAGCTGTACCTGAGCATAGTGCACTAGGGTCTGTAGATCATCTAGAGCTGTTTGTGCTTGCATTGTGTCTACATGTCTGTAGCACAAGATCTCTAGCATGTATAACAGTACCAAGGGTGGTACACCTAATGGAAACGTGTGGTTCTTTAGAGCAGACTGTTGTTCTGGTATCAGTTCATTGATGTAATGGATTTCATTGCTAAGTAAGATAATCCATGCTGCAGCCTGTCTCATCTTTTTAGACCAGGACTGCCCCCCTACAGCCTCAATATAGTACATATCTATATTTACATTACCCATACACATCACATATGGCTGTGCTAACTTGACCTTGATCATCTCTATAATAGATAAAGCTTCCGTGTATCTAAGTGTCTTGTAATAATACATGGCTATGTACAGCATGTCTGTAATAAAACCAAACTTGGCTGCTAATTTCAGCATGTGACAGGACATTTTGTCAGCTCTATACCTCAGTTTGTTGTCAGGTGTGTAAGTTTCCATGTGTAATGTAAAAGCAGTGTACTGAAGGATCATAGCGGTCATGTTCTGTAGCTTGTGGACTTGATATTGTGTCAGGAGGGGTGATCCTATCATCTGTTCTATTGCATGTAGATATCTAATGCAGATTTGTGTGTCCAATTGATTTATTGGGCCATCAAGTAATGTTTCATATAATAATATATTTCTATCAAACTGAGCCTCAGAAATCAGAGTATGATCATCTGTACAGATGGAGTTTCTGGGGTTATAGAGGACATCTATAATATAAGATCTAATGCAGGGACTGTGTAGCAAGAATGCTAAACCCTTCTCATACAACTCTGACAGTCTTATAAATAATTGATGTTGTTTGACGCCATGAATTTTACTCAGAAACATGTTGTTGTCTGGAATGAAAAAGTTAGGACAGACCCCCTCATACACCCATTTGAGGATGAGTTTAAAACAGACCCAGAAACCCCCCAGGAGATTTTGTGGAGACCAGTGAGGTATTGTATTTTGTTGAATCACCCAGAAAACTGCCGTCTTCATGTGATAGGAACACAGTAATTTATCATCATCACCTACTCCATTGTTAAATATTTCTGTTAAGATCAATTTCAGCAAGCCGTAAGTTACGAATTGACAGTGATTCATTACATACACAAGTTTTCGTTCTGCTAGGGAAAAAGAAATTCTCCATTCAAGATCTTCATGATTTCCTAGCGGATGTCCAATCGCTACAAAGTGACATCCATTTTTTACAATATCATTAACAACATGAGGCTGGGGCCATGAGTGACATCTGTCTATCCATGAGGAGGCAGAGGGAGGCCAAAAGTCACTGACAAAACAGAGGGCATGATCAAATTCTCGTCCTCCAGATGTTACACTGGCACAGGGTCCATGTGGAGTGGTGTTATCACTTTTTTGAAATGCAAATATACAAATCTGTCTGAATTCAGAGCTAGATAAATAATATCTGTTATACATTCTAACACAAGCTCCATGAATTTGTCGGTCCCTGCTTGGTGACAGTAAATATAACAAAGTAAATCCTGGTGGACTATCAGAACAGTCACAGAGGATCAGAGTTTGTCTGTGTGTTTTGTAATACTGAGACTGAGATAAGTCCCAGATCACACTGTGATTATTTAGCCAGTACATAACATCTACATCTGATCCTTCCAGTCTGAATCCTTCTCTGTAACTTCCACTCAGCATGCTACTGCCAATTGTTTTCGCTTGATTTCCCACCATCTCCCTGATGTCCATCACATCTCTCCTCATGGCCACCATTTGTGAGGTCCCCACTATATCACACAGTCCCACAAACACCGACTCTGATATACGTTGTATGAATGTCTCACTGAGAATGATGAAAGTGGAATTTATATTCTTGTATAATTAATGTTTCACTTTTGTAAATCTTTAATATAATTATCATAATTGATAAGCTTTATAAATTACTATGTTTTATTAAAAAGAAATGTTGACTGTGTATATTTTCTCTTAATTAAAAAAGGAAAGAAATTTTACATTCATATAATTGTAAATCATAAATTGAAAAAAAATCTTCAACTGAATCAGTTATTTTCAACTGAGTGAACTAAATGGTTCATTCTACCTATTCCCACTTTCTGAAAATCAGGTAGGAAAAGGTAACATTTTATGTGGGAATAGGTGGAATTTTTAAGTAAACAAATAATTAAGGATGAATTCTTCTGATCAATTTACCCCAAGTGGGTCTTCGTACTTAGACATGTCGTAAAATTCAAACTGATAACAATTTACAAAGAAGTTTTTAAAGTTTTTATGATTTATATGTTTAACTATATTTATTTTTAAATAAAAAATCTTTCTATGTTGTATTAATGACCAACACGTGTGCAAATTTACGATATTTACAACATAGGACTAAGAAAGTCGACAAGTGAAATCGACATCTAGAGGGGAAGACTCAAGATGACGGGATCGCCCGTCTCAAAGCGACAGGAATGCAGAATGGCACTCCATTAAAAGAGCCAACCGACAGAAATTTTAAAACATTTGAAAAATTGTCGAGATCAAAATTAAGCCTACAGGAACATTCTCGAAAGCGGTACCCAAACATGCCAGCCAATAGCGCCGAAGTGTGTTGACGCTGTGGAAAAGCGAAAATGTATGTTTACAATGCTTTCAAACTTATTGAAAATAGCAGTGTTTATGCGTTATACATGTAGATACAAAGGTTTCAAAATACATAGTATACTGTCACATCGCAAACTCAAACATAGCATATTACATGTTACATGTACTTAACGTTAGGCCTAATTGGTCTCCAGAGACGAGCAGACGACAACATTCGTATTGTCTTTTTTATTACAACTTTAGCTTTTAGTATATGATAAATTACCTTTGATATTGTAAATGCAGAATCTCTATCTCAAATTTATAGACATACCGTACGAAAATAATAAGATAACTTCTATAATTTTTAGCTGTTTACATTCTGGAAGAAACTAGGTCGCTTCATTCTATGGCAGCCTATACAGGTTTAAAAAATGGAATATTTCTGAAACTTCACTGACCATGTAGAAGTTATTTTAGTCTAAACTACAGGCCTGAGTTCATAAAAACAAAGTCAGATAGACAAAATAATGATTTTACATTTTTTGAACAATGATATTACCAGTAAATTATAATCTAATTTTTTTCTAAAATAATTTTTACAGGTAAGTCTTGTTTTCACAAGAATCACTAATGAAGGCTTTTAGAAGAGAGCAGGTTTTAAGAACCACTAAAATCAGATGGAGAAAACCATAAAAATCAGATTGAGAAAGTGGAACTGGATTTGACTAATCCCTGTGAAGCCACCATCCAACACCACAAACCAGGACCCAATCTGGAACCCCCAGGCCAAGAGAAAGAGAGGACATCCAACAGACTATTGTGAAGTTTTATTTGTTATACCCCCCGCAAACGAAGTTTAGGGGTATATTGGAATCACCATGTCCGTCTGTCCGTCTGTCTGTGTAGACGAGATTTTGTCCGGACCATTACTCAGAAACTATTGGAAGGATTTGTCTGAAAATTTGTACACATATTATTCACCATATGAAGTTGTGCACCTGATATTTTCATCTTGATTTGATTATTATTTTGAATTTTACGGGTGTTTTTTCATTTTTATTTGGTGGTTTTGTCCAGACTGTTTCTCTGAAACTATTGCAAGGATTAATCTGAAAATTTGTACACTTATTATTCACCATATGAAGGTGTGCACCTGGAATTTTCAACTCTTTTTGTTAATTTTTTTTGCATTTTACAGGTTTTATTTTTTATTTTAATTGACTTGTTCATTTTGGGCTCATGTATAAGGTTTGAGATATAGAATCTAGAATATCTGTTCAAAAGTACTACAGCTTAAAACTACTCATAAAAACTTTAAAAAAAGAAACATCATCAAGTTTTAAAAACTGTTTTTACATTGCACAGAAGATAATGTAATTTCATTTGTCTCTTGGGAATAATGACTGGACATGCATCCAGTTAAAGATCAATTAAAGAGTTTGGTGTTGGAAGTTGTTAAAGCATATCTCTTATCAAGCGTGTGTGTGTTATCTAATCTCCAGGGAATAAGGCACAAGAATTAAAGATCTCTCTTCTCTTATTCTCTTAATTGTAATTCATTGTCTGTCAAAGCACTTCATTACTGGATGACCAGCTCTTTATTTTCAAAATGCATTTCAAATTGATATATCAAGATTAATTTGATTTTGTATAATGTTTTTTTTTTTTCAACAATCAGTTTGCAGAGTGACATAACACATAATTGCAATATATTTTTTTAATGCATAAATAAAAAAAAAAAAATAAAAAAAAAAAAAAAAAAAAAAAAATGTTACAGTGGAATTACAATGTATTAGTATTGATGTTTCATTTGGTTGCACCTTTGTTTCATTCATTAAGAAACATGATGAGCAATTATATTTCACTGCAAATTCTTGTAAGTAAATTGTGAAACATCTAGATCCATAAAGTATTTTTGAATTGGCACCTTCTCTGAAAAACCCAGCGGGGGGTATTTGTCCCTATTGGACAGTTCTAGTTAATTGATTACTTTTTGTTCTTAAAAATCTTTTCTTAACAAAATCGTAAATATTACCTAAAATTATCACACTAATTTTGAATATTTGGTGAATAAAACACATACTTTGATGCCTAAATACTTGATTTATTTTCATTAAATGCTAAAAGAAACATCGGGTGGGGATATAAAAAACTTTCTTATATGTGCACTAACCCCTACTTTTCATGCTATGAAATGAAGCCATAATACCTAAAGAAACTGTACAACAATTTTCTTAAAAAGTTTAATTGTAGAAATATGTTTTTCTTTGGTTTTTCGAGAAATTTTATAGGGAAAAATGTGCCTAATTTTTGACATGTGTGAACAACATTTTTGGGTACAAGTTATCTAATTAGTATTTATTTGCTCATATTTTGCTTTAAAAATCAACTTTGCAATACTTTCAAGTGAATTTAAAGCCATATATGGCGTAACTGATCAAAAAAATATATTTTTGAAAAATACAAAATTAAGTAAAGAAATATAGTTAATACATTTAAATTAAAACTTTTGTAACGTGTATGATTGGGTTCTACAAGGGATATATGTACAGTATAAAGCTTTTTCTCTTACTCTGTCTGAGTTAATGATTAGACTAATGATTGTACTGCCGCTCTATCTGAGGGAAAATCACACTATATCAAAATTTTTGTTATCTAGAGACGTGGACTGGGTATTACTACTGCACCGTGTTTCTACACTAGGTTCCTTTTGATAGGAAAGAACTGAGTGTTTCAATCTTCTGCAGATTTACTGCACTCAGAACTTACCATCAATTCCCTAGATTACCTGCCACTGGTGCTTATTCTACTCTTACCCTTTTTCTTCTTCTAATGGCTTCCTCTTTTATTCTTCCAATTTCAGCCGTAACTTTCTGAATGCCTTACTACTTTATTCTTTTCTCTCGGCTTCTGATTCATCTGTTGGCTTCTTCAGCCAACTTCAGAATGCCTTATTTCCCTTAAGCATCTCTTTATATACCCTTGGACGATCCTATTCCAAGGGTAGTCAGGTCATCCCATTATCATGGGTCTTCTATGTGTTTATTCAAACGCCCCTTAACCATTACACTTTTCATACAATTCTGGTCACTGAGAACATCTCGTTTCATCTAATAATACGATTTTATCTTCTCTGTATTGTGTTATTTAAATCTTTTGTATTTTCTTCGGAGTCGGAGAAAATTCTGAGAATCCAAATTAAATTGTGATATCTTTAAAACGCAATTGACTTAGAGTTTGTAATTTACGGAAAAGTTCTATCTTTATATAAAGTAATGATACAATTAATAAGTTCTTATAATTTAGTCTAATAATTTTCATTGTAAATACGCCATATATGGCTATATTTACATTTGCAAATGTTTTCCTTTATATAACACTACGGAAGGCAAGCGTTTTTATAACTGTATAAATACAGGTACGGGGTCAAGAGGTCATAGATGTGCGTTTGGATTAACGTTCGACGTAATTTCTCTGTGACGTCATAAAGGGTCGACGCGCGTAAAGAGGAATACATACATGCCGTTGGGTTTGAAAAAATAACGCATTTCACACGTTAAAAGTGACAATCAGGCAAATGTAAAGTATGAATAAGTCACAAATGTAAATATAGGTAATAAGGTATCATTTTTTGAGTTTTATTGAGATGTAAAACGGGTTGGCACATGATCAAATCTTCCATAAGCCCCTTCGGGCTTTATGGGATTTGATCACGTGACCAACCCGTTTTACATCTCAATAAAACTCAAAAAATGATACCTTATTTCTTAATTAAGCCAAATTAAGTTTTAATTCACTGTATTTTTAAGTTTTATGAGGTATTTTATTGTCTATAGTAACATTTTTAAGGAAATTTCCCATGCTGTATTTTGGCCTATGTTCAAAGGGTTGAACCTAGATGAACACTAATATACACTTTTCTTGTCTTTAAATTATTCCTTGGATATTACACTTTCAGAGAAATATAAGCATTTGAAAAGTTCAATGCAAGTTTTTTTTTCCGCACATCATAAGAATACATCCTTAACTCTATAAACATATAACTGCCTTTAATTTTAGACAAAATTTAAGTTTGAAATCACAAAGGCTATCATATGTTATTTTGTAGAGCACAATGTCATGGTGTGCTATATATAATTTTTTGGCACACAGGCCACCGTCTTTGGCACATGCGCATTAACAAACCTATGAAGTTAAAAACTGCATAAAAACGCCGATTTTAAGGCAGTTATTTTGAAATTTGAATGTGGCCATACTCAAGTACCCTTTCCAAACTTTGCATGCATGAAAATATTACATATATGCACCTTTATGCAAAATATCTTGGAGGTACTCGCGTGTGGCCAATATGAATTTTACATTTTATGAACGTTGAGATCTCAGAAATTGAAGCAAGGTCCTCCATTATAATAGTAATTATAAGTTCATCATATGTGTAAACACCCTAGTAAATTAGTTATTATCATATCAGAATTATTCTTGATAATTATAAAATCCCTAATTTGTCAATAATTTTTATGATAGAATGTCTTAAATTGTTTTTTATCATGTGTTATTTCATATAAAATTTAAAATTATGCTCCGAGTCGTTTCATTCATGCTCACGTACATCAATGATGACGTCATAATGTGACATTCATGACGGTTATTGC